ATGTATGAAATTCTCGAAGAGTCAAAACTTCCATCATTAGACAAAAAAGCAGATCGGTGATTGCTATAGGTAAGAAGGAGTTAAGAACTGACTGTAAAAGGGCATGAGAGAACATTTGGGGTGAGGCAGAGTGTTCCAAAACTTCCTTGGGGTGGTAGATACTTAACTGTATGTGTATAACTTGAAATGGCTCAGTTTTATTTTATAGCTCAATAAAGATGTTTAAAAATAAAGGTGGCTTCATTAGATCTGCAGGTTTACTAGCCATGTGACATTCACCAGTTTACATTTTCTCACGTGCACACTTGTACACATTTTATTTTTAAAGCAATCATTTCTTTATTGTATTGTAGTTATTGGGCTTACACATGATTCTTCTAACTAGGAAAAGAATCATGTAGTTATCAATACTGCTACTTGTTCTATCTCACAAGGTTGTTGTGAAATACCACACAAGATAACTATTGAGACCGTGGTTTGGCAACTCTAAAGTAGTATTGCACAACTATATAGTAGACTTCACATTTTTACAAAACAGACATGAAAATGCTTTTTTACATGATTGCCTTGAGACTCTTGACAACTTGGGTATTCCAAAGTCAGTCTTTGCTCAGGAACAGAGAACCAATACAATGGTCACCTTTTTAACATCCTTTTTAAACCTATTTTCTACTGACTGTTGATTTACTGGATGGCTCAATGTAGTATTATCTAGGCTATACTTTCATTTTCCAAAAAGAAATACTAAAGAAATGTTTCCAGAAAGTGATTAGATGAGGATGACAAGACATTTATTTCCCAGTGGTAAAGACCAAAACCTAGGAAACTGTCTTTAAGCACTTTCCCAAGAGGTTCACAACTGAGATTTTTTTTTCCTCTAAAGTCAGTTAAATTTCTTTACATTAACTACTTCAGCTTCACATGTCTTACTGAATATAGGGTCTAGCAGAAGTGACGTCTGCTTGAGTGTGGCTGAAAGGGTAATAATATGGGTGTAATAATTTATAGTTTTAATTTGAATATTTCACCTAAAATGTCATATGGTGTGCTTCAGTGTGATAGTTATGTTACAGAATTACATGCTTATGATTTAGGAATAAAAGATTTTGTAATGAAAACGGGGTGTTATTTGTGCTGGAATCTTGTGTTTACTAATGTGTCCTGTGTTAGCAAGAGTCGGTGAATAATTGTAATACTCAAACTTTTAAAACCAGTATAGTAATCATTTCATAGTTTCACCTGTTGCAAAATTTAACAAATTCTTATTTTTTTCTTACTACCACTGCACAGCTGGGTTCTCCACTATCCTACCGGGTATGGGTGATATTTGACATTTAGCTTAGCTATATAAACAGGTTTCTGCACTGTAACAAGTGTGAAGGCTGTTTTGAAATACATAATCTCTTCTTCAAATGCAGTTTGGTGACTAAATTTTACCTTGAATTCAGGTTTACATTACATCAAGTCTGACAATTTTAAAGTTTTTCTACCAGCAACAGGTATAGCAACCAAAAATGAACAAAGCCTGTAGTATCACATAATATTTTACTATCATTGTCAATTTTTAAGGACTCCCTTTACTAACAGTTCTAAGAGGATGATTCTATGGTCAGTTTACTACTGTGCTTCATTTGATTCAGTCCTGCTTCAGTCTGGTCAGTAGTAACCATAATCTCTTAGGATTCACATTTGTCCTTTGATAACATTGAGGCCGCTGGGTCCTGTAACCACATACCTCCAGTTTTAGCTTCCAAGAAACCTGAACATGAAATCTGGGTCCTGTGCATCCTGTCAGGTGTTCCTGACCTGTTCCTCTTATGGAAGAGCTAGAACAGAGTAGGGGCCATGCTGGCCATAGCCAGGCTGGGGTTACTCCTCAGGGCCCTTGCTAGGCCCCTGCTTCTAGAGCCATCCTGCCATCCATGGGCCCCTCAGTAATGTCGAGTTCTTTATATATTTTAGATATTAAACCTTGTTGGAGCTGTTGTTTGCAAATATCATCTCCCTTTCTGTCAGTTGCCTCTTTGTTTTATTGTTGGTTTCTTTTCCTGTGCAGAAGCTTTTTAGTTTGATATCCCATTCATTTATTTTTGCCTTTACTTCCCTTGCCTGTGGGGTTCTCTCTAATTTAAATTGTGTAAGGCTTAGAAAAATTGAAAAGGTTTACCTTTTATTTTTTGAGGCTGACTTGATTATACAGAAGAATAGTGTAAGTGTAGAAAGCTATAGCCTATTGAGGTGACAAACCTCTAGAAAAAGCATTGACAAATCCTCTGTAGCACTCTACTAAAAGAATGCACTGTCCTTATGAGGATTCATTCTGGGGATGCAAGAATGAGTCAACATCAGGAAATCATGGTAGGAGTACATAAAATCCACATGATGACCTAGATTTCTGCTCCAAAAGCATATAATAAAATTCTTATATCTATTCTTTTTAAAAACAACTGTTAGGGAAATAAGCAAAGAAATGAATACTTCCTTTATATAATGAACAAAAATCAGAAGCAAATACTTAATAGAGAAAATTTTGAGACATTTGCATTAAAGTCAAGACTAAGACATGGCTGTACACTTCTACTACTAATACCCACATTGTTTTGGTGCTTCTGGCCAATGCACAAAAAGGAAGAATAGAAAAGGAAAAATGTGTACATATTTGAAAAGGAGGAAGAAAAAGATTTTGTAAATTTATAATATGAATTATATGCAATATATCTAGAATGTACAACATATCAGCAGTAATGTTAACTATGTAATAGAAAATTGCAACACAAATGATAGAATAACTTGGAATGAATAAATGTATCTAGGGATGTACAAAATATATAAGAAAAGAATATACAAATTCTATAACAATATATACTGTTTTTTGAAGAGAATGTCTCAATATTTTGAAGACATTATATCAAAATTAATTTGTAAATTTCATTTAAGTCCAAGAAATATCTCAAATTTTTTTTGGTGGGGGACTTAACAGATTGTTCTAAGTTCATATTGAAAAGTGTGGATAGTTAATCTTTGAGAATGACTTTTTTCATCAGTATTTAAAATGATGATACTGTTGCAGGAATATACAGCCAGTCCGTAGACTTGCCATATTAAAATCTCCTAGGGGACCTTTTTAACTACAGGTTCTGAGGTCCTGCTCCTGACTGCACAGGTTTGAGGTGGGTCCTAGGATCTGTATATTTCAACATGTTTCCCAGGGGTCCGGATGTGCAGCCATATTGGGAACCTCATATATAGAATGTCTTTTACAAGAAGAACCAGAAACAAGGATATAAAGTGTGAATTTAACTGAGAAGGACCTTGGGATAAATGATTTTTTAAGGGTTGGAAGAATAGCTTTTACAACTATTGGGGGAGTGAGGCAGAGGTATTTTAGGATATGAGGGTATGTGCTGTTGTAGAAAGGGTCAGCACTGCTGGGTCATAACCTCCAGGCATCATGGGATGGTAGTTGGGTAATATAGTAACCAGAATGACTTTCCAGATTACAAAATCTTAGTTGACTTTACTATATATATTGGCAACCTAGAAAGTGTGATATGAGTTCTGGATCATAAACAGTTACATTAGCAAAGCCTCTCTGCACTGTGACCTCATTTCCTTGCTTGCATCATAACATCTCCATGTTCCTGATGAGTGGTGGGGCCTTTCTTGAGAGTACTAGATGGTGATGAGAGGGTGAACTCTCTGTTGCCTGGGTTTGTCTTCAGGGATCTCATCTAGTTTGTTGGGACCCTTGGGCTAGCCTCTGTCTCACAAACATGGTGACACATGGAGACAGTATGTCTTTTAGGAACCAGCATCAGCAGGTAAGGTGAATGCCCAGAAATAAATTTCACCTAGAAGATACAGGGATGATAAGAAATCTGATCCCATCAACTGCCACCCAACTTCACCAGGAAGTGGGTAAGCATTTCAATACAAATGGTGTGCAATGGTGTGTAATAACCACATTTATCATAAAGAAATATAGGGTATTCACTATCATAAAACCACAGCTGGTTGAACTGAATGGGAATAGTCCAGACCTGTCTGGGGAGGTGATTGTGCAGTGCTCACTGACCTGAGGCCTGCTTCCCTTTAAATGCAGAAGGCTGATGTGGACCCTGTCTCCTGGGGTCTGCTTCATTATGGATGAAAATGAGACATTCACAGGATTTACCGAATCTGGTGGAGGAAAAGGGACAACGTGGCTTTTCTCTCAAGGGGAGCAAAAGCCTCAGCCCTTGCTCCAATGAGCTTTTATTGTCTTGGCACAGTACAAGAAGGTCCTCATTGACTATTCACAGGCTCACTTTGGATGGTTACTTATTACAGAAAACAAAGGAGCCAATGCTGCTAATCACATCACAGGAGAGGGATATTTGCAAATGAAAAGGCAAAAGTAGTTGAACCTGGTTGCACTCATCCTTGGAAGGTTTAGCATGGTTTTTAGGAAGTTGCTTTGTAGTAAATGTCCTCAATTCAGGGTGAGGGAGTTTTAGTAAAAAGCAAGACTCATAGCAGCCTAGGTACATTGCAGGCATGATTCCCCACAGGAGAACCTATCCATGGGCATGGGTCCTGTGCATCTCCAAGTGGGAGCTGGGCCCACCCCACATAGAACGGTTTATTACAGAAGGCCACATGCAGCAGGCCCTCACAGAATGTGAAAGTGCCTCCTCCGGTGCTCCTGAGTAGAGATCTTCCTGCCTCATAACTTTGCATGCATGGCCATAGGAGAGCTAGTTTTCCCCATTCTCTCCTTGGTGGATTTTTTTTCCCAGTTTTCTTCTTTTCAGAACTATGCTTTTTTGCATCTGTTTTATAATATAAAAGAGGAAGAAGTATGAATCATAGCTAGTATAAAAAAGGTTTAAGTTACTAATTATTTTCTGTTCACTTCTTGATTTTTAAAGCAATATATTATGTGGCTCATGTGTGGTTATATGTAGTTACATTTACAGTAAAATTCACTTTATGATTTCACCCTGGTTATTTATTTTCAGTGAGGCACAACTGGAAGACCATGACAGAAGCTATTCAAAACCACATTGGCTCTCTAAATTGGAGCTACAGGCTGTCTTTGAGGGAGAAGGCTGTGGCCTATGTAAATTCCTATGGAGAATTTGTTGAGCACCATAAAATAAAGGTACTATTTGAATATTTTGTCTTGTTCATTGCTTTCCTTTACTACTGCTTGTACTTGCCTTGAACTAAAATTCCATGTTGCATGTTAAGGGGTATAGCTAGTATATATTCGGCCATGCATGCACAAGTATTTCCTCCATTGTTTGTGGATTCCACATGCCTAGCTAAACTAAAGAAATTTCCTTTTAAAGAACTCTTTAAAGTTTTTTGAAATTGCCTTTTGATTACCATTTTAAAAGAAAATGTTTAAACAGTAAAAAAATCAAAATTTTAGTGTTAATTCTTTTAAAAAATGAAACCTTAAATAGAACTTCAATATATATTATTCATAAAAATATTAATAAAGGTAGCATCAGATTAGTGTATTTTATAAATTTATATTTATAATGTTTATGTATCATAAGATCAATATGTAAGGAAAATGAGACCATTTTGATGAACACAAAACTTTTTAATTGGAGTTTTGAAAGACAAGTAAATATCATCCTCAAGAACCTAGTTTATTTTTGTCCCCTGCTTTTGTAGCATAGTGTGCAATAATCTTGATAGAATTTGAGGTTATTTTATGGTCATTTACTGAATAGAAAGGTGTGAGGTGGTCCATTTAAAGCTACCCTTTTACAGCCATACATGGGCTAATTTGACCTACATATTCACATGAAACATACTAGAAATCCAAGTCAGTCAGTTTTAGTTCTCAAACTGTCATATACCTGGTATAGCTGGTTGAATAAGTGATCATTCCTAGCCATCCTTGCCTCTCCTATGCCTCCTCATTTAGTGATACTAGAATCTCTCCAGTTACTCCAGCAAGAAACTTCAGGTTCTTCTCACTTCATCCTCACAGCTTGAACTTGTTTGTCTGTCACAGATCCCTGTCTCCAGGTTGCCCTCCCTCCATCCCACTAAAATCATCCCTTTGCTTAAATACTTTAATTGCTTTTTGAATTTTTAAAATGTGAATGTATTTATTATTTACTTATATAGTTGGAAATAAACAAACAATGAACAACCTTTCCTGATGCTCCATAGCCTGGATTTTTAGGATGGCATGGAAGGATCTTTACTTTTGTCATTAATCTGTGTGACTTCACCTCTGACACATAGCCTCCTGTCCTGTCACTTCTGGCCACTTGCTGTTCCCTGGATGTTAGCTGCTTTCAGGCCTTTCAGTGTACATTTTTATGTACTATTTTCTCTTTAGGTTTCCATTTCTCTAAAGTCTTTGCACTTTTCTCATCTCCACTTGAAATGCCACCACCTTTAAACCATCCCCACTATGGTTTTTTGGCTAATGTTTTGTGAAGACTTCTATTTCTATGATGATGCTTATCACACTGCATTATTATTTTGCATGTTTCTTCCTTTTGATTGGAAGCTCCACAGAGGGGATTGTGGTGACTGGTACTTTGTAGTGTTGGTTGAAAAGTGAAATTTACTTTTCTTTTTTCAAGGCAACCAATAGAAAAGGACAGGAAACTTATTATACTGCTGCAAAATTTGTCATAGCAACAGGTGAAAGACCACGGTATTTGGGAATTCAAGGAGATAAAGAATACTGTATTACTAGGTAAGATTAAATAGGCCATTTTCACTGTAAATTATATTATGTTTATGTGTTTCCTGTCTTGTTTCACAAAGTTTTGAATTGATAAATAAAAGTATATACAATGCAAGAAGCTATGTAGTTAACATAATGGAGTAAAGAGAAAATAAAGTTAGGTAAATAATAAGGTCACATTTATGCACAAAAATGTGTTTTATGTTTCTAGATAATTGCTCTGGGAATTTGGCTCTAACTTTCCTGGAGGCTGAAGAGAAGAGACAAATACAATTAGCTTTAGGTTTTAGTGTCTAATATAATAACAATGAACCAGCTGATCAGGAGAATCATGGCTGGCCGTTCCTAAAGAGAATAAAATATAATGTAGTACAATGACTTGCAAGCTTTTTTTGACCAGATACACATTAAGAAACATATTTTTCATTGTGCTGTTATTCAGGTGAACACACACACACACATCCAAAATGAAATAATATTTCTTCTTATCACATATAAGTTAACCTAATATTTTCTATTCTGTTTTTTTTTTTTTTTAAACTTTCCCTTGTGCCCTGGCCAGTGTGGCTTGGTTGGTTAGAGCATTGTCCCATGCAACAAAAGTATGTGGGTTTGATTCCTGGTCAGGGCACATATGTAGGTTTCAGGTTCAGTTCCAAGATGGGGCAGGTACAGGAGGCAACCACTCTATGTTTCTCTCTCACAGGAATGTTTCTTCTCTCCCTCTCTCTCCCCTTGCCTCCTCTCTTCCTTTCTCTCTAAAAGCAATGAAAAAATGTTCTTGGGTGAGGATAAAAACCATACACACAAAACTTTGCTTGCAATCCACTAATTTGATTTTTAAAAAACTGAGGTATACTTCTTCCTCCATAGGCTATTACAAACTCCAAAAGGCTATTTCTTTTAGTGTTTCCTCACTCAAGCCCCAAATTGTAATTCAGCCAACAAAAGACCATTGAAAGCAGTAACTCATTTCATTTTTATTGCCTAGGTATTCTGTTTCTTATTTTTATTTTTCAGTGATGACCTTTTTTCTCTGCCTTATTGCCCTGGCAAAACATTAGTAATTGGTGCATCTTATGTGGCTCTGGAATGTGCAGGATTTCTTGCTGGTGTTGGCTTAGATGTCACAATTATGGTGCGTTCAATCCTTCTTCGTGGCTTTGATCAAGAAATGGCAGAGAAAGTGGGTTCCTACATGGAACAACATGGTGTTAAGTTCTTACGGAAATTTATACCTGTCATGGTGAGTCTGAATGACATTTGGAATTCTTTTTATGTTCTTTTTACTCTCTCTTTAGCCTTTTATTTTACCCCTCCTTCATGTCATTGAGTGGATTGGTCTGTGCTCAATAGGAAACCTTAAGGATAGTGTTCCCACCCCAAGTCTATAATACTGGCCCCGATTTGTCCCTGTCTTCTCTTCCTTTGACAGGGAGGGGTCCTTGTTCCTCTTAGGCCAGATTCCCTCTTCTCTCACTGTTCCTTGCCTTCTCCCACCTTTTCAAGGACTTCCCATCTTCAGGGTCTTCCTTTCTCCTCTATCATGCCCTTCAGTGTCATTCATCTTTAAACAAATAAGCCCTTCCTCCCCTCTCTACTTTTCTGGCTGGGTCCCCATTTTTTTTTTCCCTTTAGGAGAAAACTATACATGTTACTTCTCATTTCTTACCTCATTTCCTGCTGCCTCAGACTCTCAGCTGCTTCTTCCTTCCCTACCACTCATTTGAAACTATTTGTCAGATGGTATTGTCAAAGCCATGTTTACATCTCTATCCTACCTTACTGGGCCTCTGGCATAAGTTGGTGAAACTGACATTCTTTCCATTTGAAACCCACTCCTTTCTCTACTTCTCTGACTCCACAGCCTGTGGTTCCAGGTATACTCACTTGTAAATATCAGAACACCTGGTCCCTCCTCCCTTTTCAGTTTTCTGCCCTTTATACCTAGGCAGTCTGCTTTAGGCCCACATTTTGTTATCTTAATGCTAATGGCTCTCAGATATATATATATCCTGCTCAGCCATCTCTCCTGAACTCCACACTCATTTGGACAGCTGTCTACTAGATATTTCCACTTGAATTCCTCATAAACATTTCAAATTTAACAAGACAATTATGAAACTCTTGATTTTCTGCCTATGTATATTCCCCTGCTAATCTTTCTGTTCTGTGTACTCACTAAATGATACTATAGTCCACACAATATACTAAACCAACATCTTAGTAAACATCCCTTCATTCTTCCTTTTATGTTATCTCCAACTAATCTACCTCCAAAATGTATCTTGTGACAGTCCTCTGTTCTCTGTCTCTCTCTGTTTAGTCCAAAAACCTAAATGCATACACACACACATATTCACAGTCACATGCACATCCTAGGACCCATTAGTTTTCTGTTCCCTTTAGATAAAATCATTACATTGTTTATCCTTACTAGGTTCAACAGTTGGAGAAAGGTTCACCTGGAAAGCTGAAAGTAGTGGCTGAATCCACTGAAGGACCAGAAACTATTGAAGGAGTATACAACACAGTAAGTTTTTATTGTAGAAGCAAGAAGTGGTTGAACACACTCATAATTTAGCACAGAAGACACTTATGGGAAAATTATATCAGGCTTAACTGTTTTTTGGATTCTTTGTAAGAGTGTAGTGAATGTGGAAGGTAGTTGGTCCGTTGACTTTTATAATGGTACATGAAGGATACCATGGTAAAATGCAAGTATATGTGTAACTACGCATAGAACAAAATCTAGAAGCAGATATTCCTGACTATTATTAATACTTATTTCATGGGCATTAGATATCTTATACATTTCTGCATTTAAATATTTTTGCAATAAACACTGAATCATTTTATATTTGTATATTGTGTATTTTTATTTTTAAAATATCTTTCATATTTTCAAAAGTATCTTTTTGAAATATATTTTTATTTTAAAAAATAATATTTAAAATATCCAGATAGTGCATGGGCTATTTTTGGATGGCAACAATTCTAATTTAAATTGCTGATATTTGGATGCCAACATTTCTTTTGTAAGCTATAGTTTATAGTTTTCACATAAATTATACATTTATGTTTTATATACTCTAAAACATGTGGATTTTTTTAGTTAAAAAAGGAAATGATGTAGAGAGTCTAATCAAAAATGTATTAAAATATAAAATTTATTTGACAATTTATCCTTAGATTAATTTGAATTTTCTTTGTACATATTCATATTATTTGTGAATAACAACAGTTTTGTTTCCTCTTTTCTACTGTTTTCCTCATTACTTCTTTTTCTTGCATAAGTGTACCAACTGGGACCTCCAGTAGAGTGTTATCCAGAAATGGTGGTGGCAGCCATTCTTGTCTTGTTCTCAGTATTGAAGGAAAGTTTTCAGTGTTTCATTATTTAAGAATAATTTTTCTGTAGGGTTTTTATAGATATTCTTTATCAAGTTAAAGAAATTCTTTTCTATTTTCTGTTTGCTAAGGGTTTTTGGTTATGTGGGTTTTTTGTGTTTTAAAAGTCATGAGTATATGAGTTCAGTTAACAGTTCCTTTTGTAGGTGATAATAATCAAATTTTTTTTCTTTCATTTGTAAATATGTTGAATTACATTGCTTTTCTAATCTTCAATCAAATTTTTGCTCCTGATATAAACCTAATTTGGTAAAGGTCCTATTTATATATTGTTGGATTTGTTTATTTAGAATATTTACATTATATTCATGAATCATACTGGCTTATAATTTCCTTTCACATATTGAACTTGTCAGAGTTTGGTATCAAGTTTATTCTAATGTAATAGGTTGCATGTAGTGTAGGGGTCCCTGAAAATAGCAGAGCATGTTCCTGATAAACTTGGATTAGGGGAATGGGGAAGTGGACAAAAGGCAGTTAAGGTACTTTGAATAACAATGACAACTTAATAGTTGTGCTGCCACCCAGGGCAAAGGGTATACGTGACTTTAAGGGCCTATCCTGACTGGTGATATAGCCAGGGGAGGTGGATGCCCAGCCCTGATGCCCCTCTGTCACAGGGAACTCTTGCCATGACTAAAGATGGTAGCTGAAAGAAGGTAAAAGAAAAAGGGGAACTAGCAAAAGTAGCACATCATAGGAGGGGCTACTCCTCCTATGTCGGATATGAGGTCATATAAGAGCTCCAGGTCAAGCATTTAAAAGAGGGCTGAAAGAGAGGAGGAAGAAGCTGTGCAGGAGGAAAGGGTATAAAGAGAGAGCTGATGGAGGTATGTGAGGACCTCCCTAACCAAGCACAGATTTATGGGAGATGCTTGGAGCTGAAACTGAACTGTGACCAGGAGTGCTGAGCTACAGACTTCTGCTTCTCTGAAGGACATATGGAGAAGCCACTCTTTTGGGACGTGTGCCTCCCTGAACTCCACCATGATCCAGTGTAACATGGCACATGTTTCCCTGAACCACTACATGGAGGCTGAGAACAACATACCCCAGATCCTGAAGGAGAGCTTCTGCAAGAGGATGGCCACTCTGAAACCTACAAGAGCACCTTCCAGAGGGGATGGAGACCTGTTTGCACAGCTGGTTTAAGAACAGATAAAGATGTGGGGACTCCTGGAATGATTTTGGCTTACAGCCTGGTAGGGAGTAAGGAAAGTTCTGGGTCTTGTGGGAGAACAGGGCTCTGAGCAAGAGTGCTTTCAGCCCTCCCAAGGTTGGAATCCTGTAAATAAAACCCTGTTTCCTTCAACACTAATTGTTGGATCATGCATCAAGGTGCCATGTGGTCAAGCCCCAGTTTGCTAGGTTACATTAACTCATGAATAGAGTTTGGAGTATATTTCCTCTTTTTCTTTCCTCTGGGAGCATTTATGTAGTATTGGAACATTCTTTGTATATTTGATAGAATTTACTGATGCAACCATTTGAGTCTAGAATTTTCTATGGTATTTCACCACTGATCCATTTTTTTTAACAGTCAAAGGGCATTTAAGGCTTTCTGTTTTTTTCTTGAGTTATTTTAGATTAATATATTTTTCTAGGAATTAGTCCATTTCATCTAAGTTACCAAATATATTGGTATAAAGTTGTTCACAATATCTAAATTAGTAAATTCTTTAATTTTGTAACAAGGTATAATGTACATGTAGTGAAATGCACAGGTCCTAGATGTATAGTTCAGTCAGTTTGACAAATGCACATGTTCATGTAATCCACCCTCCTTTGAAGGTAACAAAACACATCTGTGATTGTAGTAAGCTCTTGTGTCTCTTCTCACTTCCTGACCCCAAACAATCCTATTCTGATTCTGTCACCATAGACTAGTTTTGCCTATTTAAGCATCACAGAAATGGAACCATATGGTAGGTACTCCTTGATATCTGGCTTCTTTTATTCAGAATAGTGTTTTTAGGATTCATCTATGTTGTTGTGTATATGAGTAGTTCTTTTAATTGTATGAATTGTATGAATATACAGTTGTATGTATACCATAGTTTATTCATTTTCCTGTGGATGGACACTTAGGCTGTTACCAGCATGGGCTAATTATGACTTAAACTCCTATGAAAATTTCAGGTATAAGGCCTTTTGTGGATCTATATTTTCATTTATCATGGGTAAGTAAATATCTAAGGGTGAAACTGCTTGGTCCTAGGATAGTTTCTATGTTTAATTTTTTGAGAAAATGCCGAATACCTTCTAAATGATTATGTCATTTTATATTTCCACCAGCCATGCATGAAAGTTTTGGTTGTTCTGTGTCCTCACCAATATTTAGGGTTTGTTGGCTGTTCATTTTAGCCATTCTAATATGTGTAATGCACAGGTGGCAAACCCAAGGCTAGTGGCCCTCCACTTTGTTTTATCCAGCCCGGCACCTTGTTTGTACCTGGTGGCAGCGCCGAGCTCTCACTTAACTGTTAAGGAATAGTTACATTTATACAGTCCTAAAATTACATTCAGCCCTTTGAAGGTAACTGTGAAGCTGATGTGGCCCCTGGTGAAAATGAGTGTGACACCCCTGATGTAGTGGTATTTTACTGTGGTTTTAAGTTGCATCTTCCTGATGACTAACAATGTGGAACATATTTTTCTGTTTTAATGGTCATTTATATATTTTCCCTTATTAAGTGTCTGAGTCTTTGGCCTGTTGCCTGTTGGGTTATTTGAAGTTTTATTCTTGAATTTCAGAAGTTCTGTATATATTTTGATATATTTCTTTCTTCAGATATATGTATTATGAATATTTCTTCCCATTTGTGACTTGCCTATTTATTTTTATGGTATCTTTTGATCAGCTATAGTTTTAAAAAATTTTTATTTTTTGTTTTATAGTTAAGGCTTTCTCTGTGCTCTAAGAAATATTTGCTTACCTAAAGGTTATAAAGATATTCTGTAGTTTTTGTGAAGCTTTATAATTTTATCTTTTATGTTTAAGTTTGTAATCCATCTTTATTAGTTTTTGTTTATGGTGTGGGGTAGGAATTGAGGTACTTTTTCTTCTATGTGGGCCTAGTCCCATTTGTTGAAAAGATTTCCCTTTCTCCATTAAATTGTTTTGGTGCCTTGGTTGAAATGATTTGACTGATTAGCCATCAGTCTATTTCTGCACTCTTTCTTCCATTGATCATTTGTCTCACCACCTTGTTTTGATTATTGAAGCTTGACATAAATTTCAGACCAGGTACAGTAAGTCCTCCAAAGGACCTTTGCTTAGGTCCTTTACATTTCCATATAAATTTTAAAACCAGCTTGCTATTTAAAAAAAAAAAAAGCCTTTCAGGATTTTGATTGGGATTGTATTGATTACATAGATCAGTTTGGAAGAACTGACATCTTAATGACATTAATATTTCCAATACATGAGCATCCTATATCTTTATTTATGTATTCTTTAGTTTCTCTCAGCAATATATTATAATTTTGCTCCAGAGGTCTTTCATGTATTTTGCTAAATTTATCTTGGGTATTTTGTGTTTTTAAGCTATTGTAAATGGCATTTAAGATTTTTTAACTTTGAGTTAGTTTGGTAGTTTATATAAATACAAAGGATTTTTGTATATTGACCTTGTAGATTCTTAGGGCCTATGTCTGCATATGAAACCAATTTGGTTTCTTCTTTTCAAGCTACATCTTCTTATTCCTTTTTCTTGCTTGTCGCACTGGTTAAGACCTTTAGTACAGTGCTGAATAGAAATTATGAGTGCGTATCTTTACTTTACTCCGATCTTAGGGTTGATCCCAGGCATTCAGTCTTTTATGACTGCTAGGGTGTAAGCTGTACTGTTTTTTACAGATACCTTGTATCAGGTTGGGGAAGTTTTCTTTAATTCTTAGTGTGCTGAGGATTTAATTAAAATCCTCAAGGATGTTAAGTTCTGTCAAATACTTTTTCCATATCTATTGGGATGATTATATTGTTTTCTCCTTTATTGTTAATATGATGAATTACATTGATTGGTGTTTGCACGTTAAACCAAATTTGTATTTTTGGGATAAACCTCACTTGGTCATGATCAATTATCCTTTTTATATATTGTTGTATTTGATTTGCTAAGATTTTGTTAAGGATTTTACATATATGTTCATGAAGACATAGGGCTTATAATTGCACTTAAATACCGTTGTTTGAGTTTGGTGTCAGTGTTTATGCTGGTCTCATAAAAAGGAATTGGGAAGGCTCCCTTCTCTTTTGTCTGGAAGAGTTTGCATACCATTAGTGTTATTTCTTACTTACGTGTTGAATAGACTTTACTAGTAAAGTCATCTGGGTTTGGAGTTATTAATGGGAAGTTTATAAATTGTAAATTCAGTTTCCTTAATGAAACTGTATAGGGTGTATTAGTCAGTGAGGGCTGCCCTAACAAAATACTACAGGCTAGGTTGCTTAACAAAGGAAATTTAGCTTCTCACAGTTCTGGAGGCTGGAAGTCTGAAACAGAGGTGTCAGCAGATTTAGTGTCTTCTGAGGCTTCTTTCCTTGGCTTGCAGATGGTTGGTTGCCTTCTCTCTATGTCCTCACACAATTATCAGTCTGTGCTGTGTGTGTTCTACTATGGATGTTAGTCATATTGGATTAAGGCCTACCCTAATGGCCTCATTTTACCTTATCTCTTTAAAGGTCCTGTCTCCTAATACTTTCTGAGGTATTGATGTTTAGGACTTCAACATATGAATTTGGTAGGGGGTACATAATTTCAGCACATAACATAGAATTATTCAGATTTATATATAAGTTTGGAAAATTGTGTCTTTCAAGGAGTCTGTTTCAGGGATGTAATATACAGCATGGTGACTAGAGTTAATAATACTGTATTGTATGTTTGAAAGTTGCTAAGAGAGTACATCTTAAAAGTTCTCATCATAAGAGAAAAAATTGTAACTATGTGTGGTGACAAATGCTAACTAGACTTGTGGTGATCATTTTCAATATATACAAATAATGAATCATGTTGTATACTTGAAACTAATATGTTGTGTATCAGTTACACCTCAATTAAAATGCATTTTGACCAAAAAAAAATAAGGAATCTATTTCATCTAAACTGTCAGATTCATTGGCATGGGGCATTTAAAATAGTTATTAGTCTTTTATTGTCTGAAGGATCTATAGTGATGTTCCTGCTTTCATTCCTAATATTGATAAATTTGTGTTTTTGATCTCCCTCTATAGGTTTTGTTAGCAATTGGTCGTGATTCCTCTACAAGGAAAATAGGCTTGGAGACGATTGGTGTCAAAATCAATGAGAAGTATGTACATGTGGGATCATGTTGATGCACAAAGCACAATGTTTCTACAGATCACCTCTTAAAATTCTCATTTAATTACTAAGATGCAAAATTTTATTGCTTTGAATTTATTTTATAGTAAGTACTGTCCCAGCTCTGTGTTATCAATTTTTTCATTAACAAGTAACTCTTTTTTTTTTAATTTTTATTTATTTATTTTTAGAGAGGGAAGGGAGGGAGAAAGAGAGAGAGAGAGAGAAACATCAATGTGCAGTTGCTGGGGGTCATGGCCTGCAACTCAGGCATATACCCTGACTGGGAATCGAACCTGCGACACTTTGGTTCGTAGCCCATGCCCAATCCACTGAGCTACTCCAGCCAGGGCTAACAAGTAACTCTTTATTGTGTGCTTTAAAGAGCTCATGCATGATTTTAAAAAATAATTGAGGAAATGTATTCACCTACATCTGACTTAGAGTGAATTTTATGGCCTTGGTCAAGCAAGGAGAAAGATTTCAAAGCTCATAAGTGCAGCTGTGGGGGAAATCTGGGAATATCCTCAACATCCAAAATATGAGCTTCATTTTATCAACCAGCAAGGTGTTTTCTTTTGCAGCTACAGAAACTTTTGCTCTTGTAAGCCATTGGTCTTATAGACAATCAATGGCCTGAGGTGCATGAATTCTTAGAGCAAGGTCATACCTCTTTGTATTTAGTTCTCTTGGAAGAGTGTTAGTCATCTAGCAATATAGAGTTAATCATAATATATTTTTTCCCGTTCAAAATCTAATAGGAGTGGCAAGATTCCAGTGAATGATGTGGAACAGACCAGTGTGCCGTATGTTTATGCTATTGGGGATATTCTGGAAGATAAACTTGAACTCACTCCTGTTGCCATACAGGCAGGCAAGCTGTTGGCTCGAAGACTTTTTGGGGGTCATTTAGAAAAGGTAAGTTTCTTACTGTTGTTTTTGAGATAATATCTAAATAAAATTATGACTTTAAAAAACCAGTACAGATAAAACTTGTGTGTTTGTTTTCCAAGTAAAGGGTTTTTCACAAATAAGGCATTTGCACTTGACTTATTTACTAATTTACTATAAAATTTTTTTTTTAATATATGCCATGTACAAGATGTTTTGCTGGATAATGTACAAAGTACTGGCATGGTTCCAGCACCAAGGGGCTTGCTAGGTATGTGGGGGTCATGAGTAAGAAGAGGGAGCAATTAATTCTGATTGAAGGGATAAGAAGGGGCCTCCCAGGTAGTCGGTTGCACTGTCAGAGAGAGGAGGGGATCAGGATGCTGGCCCTGGCTTAAATGCCTGTTAGTGTGTAAAGTTGGTCAAGTCATTTCACTTCTCTTCACTTCAGTTTCACCATCTGCAAAGCTGATGGTATGAATCAGGTGAGTTCTACAGTCTCCTTCACCTTTTGTAGTCTTTGATCAAAGATTTGGGATGGGCTTTGTAGGATGAGTGATTTAAAACTGAGGGAGCAAAGGGCTCTTTTGATAAGTAGATCATTCAAAAGCCCAGAGCTCTGGGGGGAATTCATGCTCTGCTCCATCAGGAGCACTGTGGACATGTGGAGGTATTAGCAGATGAAAGATTGACTGGTTAAGTGGTTTTACTGGGTGGGTATAAGGAATGCTAACTGTTTTGTTGCACACAAAGGAAGAATTGTCTCATCCACAATACTCAGCAGCATTTTGAGGATTTGGCACCAGATCATCAGAAATCTATGATGCCACAGTAAAAAATAAGTAGGGCCCTGTCTAGACATTGGAAGTGGGTGAAGATCTTCACTTTTAACTTTTCAGTTAGAAAGATGGCAAACTTCAGAATGAATAGTAACAATCACCCATATTACCCTTTTCACTCAGATTTCCTAGTTACTAACATTTTGCCATTTTTACACTCTCTCTTTTCATCACTTTGATTTTTGATGAATCCAGTCTATTTTTTTTGTAGACTATCTCACATTCTGAATTTCTCTGATTGTTTTTGTATGATTAGGTTTAGCTGAAAAGTTTAGGGTACATATTCTTTACAAGGGATGCTGTATGCTGCTTATTTTATCAGTCCAGTTACCTTGTAAAGTTGTGAACAAAGATCTAGTACACATGTGGAGGTGTTGGTGGATGAGAGGCAGCCAGGGATGTGTTACTGCTGGCATTAATGGGTGTGGCCAGGAATGATGAATGTACAAAGAAGAATTTATCCTGTCCCAAGTGCAATAGCATTTCGAGGTATGTGGAAGCAGAATAATTCCTAATGCTGTAAGAAATTAGTCATGGTGGCCATGGGGTAAAGAGATTAGAAGTGGACCATTGTGTATGTAAAAAGAGAGTGATTAAAAGTCTAGAACTGAAAGAAAGGCTACAGGGAGAGCAAGATAAAGTCCAGTTCAAGTGGAAGAAATAGTGTAAGATGTGGAGAGAGTGTTTTAAATGAAAGGGAGAAAGTTGAGGAATTGCCTGTTGATTTCTCTGTTGATATGAGACAGGAGATAGAGGCCTCTGTTGAGCCATGAGATATGGGATCAGCTACTGGTGACTAAATGGAGTGATGAGCATTTGATGGCTTAAGAGAAGTCAGAAAACTAGGCACCTGATTATGTGATTTTTCTCTAGCCATACTGGAATAAACACAAATGCTTCATGATTAGCAGTTAGCAAATGTGAAATGCGATTGAATATATTTTACTTAAAGACTCTAGGCTGATGCATATTGTATACAAATCACCTCATTAGTGCAATATACCTAGTATTTTGAGGTGTTTTTCTGTTGTATAAAATAGAAAATCACTCAAACTAGGCAAATTGGGGAAGTTTCTTATAAGGACCCCGTGGATGAGTAATCAAGTCACACAGTGACTTAGAACAAGGGCTGTGCTAGTACTGAGTCTCACTGCAGTTAAAGCAGGGCTGGGTCTGGGTGTCACGGCTGCTCTGGGGCCCTAGCACATGGAAGTGGGCTTCACAGAGTGCCCTTCCATTAGCTTAATTTGGCCACAACTCTGTTTTTTCTTGTCACACTACCACACGAGGGATCGTTCCTTTACTCCTAGTTTATTTTCCTACAAAAGAAACAATTTGGCGCAGCTCACCTTTCTCTGCATAGGTTTCTGGTCAGCTTATGGATTACCTTTCTTTGAGGACATCATCCCTGACCTAATAACCTATAACTTGTTGGCAAAGTTTTGGGGGACATGTAGTGCTCTAGGCATTGGAACCCCTTGAGGGTCTGTGGATGCACAGGCATAGCGACCTTCATCCCTGGCTATAGCCTCCATTCTTTTTCTCTCCCTGCACACCACTTTCTGTCCACACACACAGTTTTAATGATGCCTCCTCCAACGTGTTCTAACTCTGCTTCACACAGTCACAAACACTTTCTCCTCCAGGCAGGGATGCCACTTGAACTTGGCGTTCACACTTGCTTTCCCACAAGCAGATGAGGCAGTGGAGCTGCTGGAAGATCATGTGTAGGTTTCAGAGTCTTCAATTTGGTTGTGCTGTCCACTTATGCTGTGTCTCAGTCAGATCAAGGCTCTGAAAGGGTTCTGTCATAACCATGGGATTCATGCATTTCCAGTCTCCAAGTACACATGTGTATGCCATCTTCCCTTGGTGGTCCAGAGAAGTCACTCAGACCTGCACTATTAATCTGTTTTTTTGCTTATCATCTCAGTGACACTGTTAAATAAAATGGCCAAGAGTGGTCTAGGCCTCAGGTGAAATCATGTAATTCTCCATCACCTAGTGGAGGTGTTCTAGGAAAGCAGAGCCCAGAAATTGTGGGAATGGAAAAAATTTTTTAGAAAGTATCTTAAGGGCAACAAAGTACACCCGCCTTCTCCTCTACTGAGTGGTTTTCAGATCAGAAGTCTGAGGTTGGGGCTCTGAGAGAGCCAGTCCTGTTCATTCTTCACTGGCCAGTGGATGGTCTCTGCCCTGGAGTTGTGCTCATCCCATCTCCTTTAGTGTAATTTACAATTCCCTGAAATGGTGATATGTCAGAATCATAGAACTGGACTTACTTATTTTCCTTTTGTAAATGTATGTGATAGAAGTTTTGTTGTTAAAAAAAAAAGTGTCACAAAATAAGAGCATGTAATTTCTTTATCTTTCAGTGTGATTATGTTAATGTTCCAACTACGGTGTTTACTCCTTTGGAATATGGCTGCTGTGGATTATCTGAAGAGAAAGCTATTGAAGTATATAAAAAAGAGAATCTAGAAGTAAGACTCTATTTGGTTTACTTTTTAAGGATCTCTTTTAATCAACCGTCTTCTTAGTCAGGGCCCTTATCTTCTTGTCTTTTTATTTTGTCATTTTGCTAGTTATTATAATGGTTATATTGTAGGAAATCATCCTATTTTAGGAAAATTAGAAATTAAATACAGTGGTATCTTTGTACTCGTCGTTAATTCATTCCAGAACTCATGACAAGTGCCAAAATCAACCAGATGATGAAGCATTCTTTCTTGTGGGGCAGCGTTGTGACTCATACAAGTTATAGCAAGTGCAATGAGTCCTGAGCAAGCACTGAGTGCTGAGACATTGTCAAAATGCAGTGAGTACAGAATTTGACAAGTTCTGAAGCCAATAAGTACCAAGGTATGACTGTAATGTAAACCCCATCTCTCTTGTAAACTAATAATAACACATGTGGGGAAAGACAGTTGTATAATGTATGCATTAGAACTTTTGAATTACAAATAGGAAATACCTATTTGAGTAAGCTTACACAGGGAAGCATATGTTATTATAAGTTCTTTTAGGAGTACAGGAATGTATCAAGGCCTTAGGATGGGATAAGAACCAGGAACTGGAAGATCTTCTCACCTCTTTCTTTTATTTGCTTGGGGCTTATGTATTTATTTGTGTGTGTGCATGCAATTCATTCTTACGTTCCTACAGATAGACTTTTTTGTCCCTGGAATGCACATAGCAGCCAAAATATGGCCTTTGTTTTGCTCCCAAGTTTATCATTAGCTCTGGTCTTAAGAGAAATTGATTGACTTACTGTTTCTTAGTCTCAATTCTAAATTACGGGAGAGGACCTTTGACTGGTCTGTTGGGTTTGCTATCCAACCACTTCCATTTGGCATGACGGTAGCCAGACTCATGGAGTATCAACATGGCTTTGGGAACCTATACTATCATGGAACTTTAGGTGGGGAAGATGAGCAGTTCCCAGGATTGTCATGGGCTATGGGCCATTCAGACTCTGACAGAGATTTCCTTCACACATTTATTTCAGCTTGCCTTTCACCACTGCTCCATTTAATCACAACAACCTTATAAATATTTTCTTACATTTTGGTTGGTGGTTTGACTATAATTTTTTTTGCACATCCTCCCAACATAGGAGGGATAGGGAGAACTGAAAAGAGCCAGAGGATTATTTCTACTTGAGGTTTTAGGCAAAAGATAATTGAAATTTCAGTTCTCTCCCTTAAATGACATTTTAATTTATTACTGGAAATTTCTTTAAACCATAGCACTGATATTCCCTAAGTAAATAGCCCAATGAATTACTGAAACTCTTACTTATATTTCTGGTATTGGGAAAATGTATTTTTAAAACTTTATAATGTTATTTTAGCTGGTAGCTTTCAATGAGACATTTACATTTTAGAGGACATTGTTTGATCAGTGTTTATAATTAACTCCTTGTGGCCATGAGCCATCCTTTCTGCAATGGTGAATTTTCACTTGGGTGCTGGAAAGTTGATGGTAATGATTACAGATTTAACACTTAGTTGTAAAACTTTTTGAAATTAATTAGAATTCAAATACAGAGGCAAGAAGACTGTAGAAGACCATATCCTATTTAAAGGAATATTTTTATAGGAAAATAGTTTCCCAAGTTTGTGGGATTTCTTTAAGGTATTCACTCTAAGGTTCACTGCACATCAACTTACCTACTTACTTTCTTTATTTCTTTTTTTCTTTATTGCATTTGACAAGACTGAAAATTTAATGTATTGGTATTTTTAAAATTCCTATTATAAAGAAATTGGAGGAAGACTCAAAAATACCTATATGATATTTTTTAAGCAAGGAAATCAGGGTAAAAAGAGAATGAGGGTAGAAAAAAATAAGATGGTTAAAGGAAAGGTTAATTTGTTGGTTCACAAAATTAGTACTATAAAGTCTTATAGACTTGACCAAGGCCTAAGCTGAACAATGAATTTAACTCTAAGCTCTCTACTTCATGACTAGAAGAAGGAGAATTGGGAGGTATTTCTTCATGTTCTTATAAGAGGGGCATTGAGATATGATGAATGATATCCTTAAAATATCTCATTAGTAAATACAATAATGGATTTACACAAGTGTTTCTTATTAGATTCAAAACTTCAGTCCCACAGCATAATGCCAAAGCACAGTATATTGAAAAGTTAATTTATATTGATGTGGTGTGGACACTGGTTTAAAAAATAATAAAAGGACATCAACAAGAGAAAAAAAAAGTAATTACTAAAGGGGACAACATAGGGCTATGATCTCTGGTGGCCTGACCCAATACAAAATTTTACAGTACAGGTACACCTCAGAGATACTGAAAGTTCTTTTCCAGACCACCCCAATAAAGAGAGTATTGCAGCAAAGTGAGTCACACAAATGTTTTGGTTTCTCACTGCATATAAAAGTTATTGTTACATTATACTGTAGTCTATTGAATGTTCAATAGCATTTGTATCTTAGGGAATAGGGAGGCCTAAGAAGAGGGAGAGAATGGGGGAACTCTTGCTTAGTGGAGAATTGAGAACACACACATTTATCAATTATATTTGCCATCTTACATGGGTGTGGTTTATGGTGCTCCAAAACAATAAGAGTAACACTGAAAATCACTGTTCAGGACTTCTGGTCAAGATACAGGCATAAGTAAACACAACTCACCTCCTTGCACAACCACAGCAAAAATCACAACTAAATTATAAAACAACTATTACTCAGAACTGTCAGAAAATTGAGCTCTATGGAAGTTCAACAATGAAGGAATTAAAGAAGTCACATTCATTCAAAGAAGTCACATACAGTCTTACACCCATGTGTGGTGGATAAAAATTAGGAGGGATATCTCAGGAGCAAGGGATCTCAACCCACACTAGACCACCCAGCCAGGGTTCAAGTTCCAGGAATATAAGTCCCCATAACTTCTGGCTGTAAAATCCAGTGGGGATTGGGCAGTGGAAGAAACTGCAGGAGTCTCAGGCATGTCCTGTTAAAGAGCTCACACCAGTCTTAAAACTTAGACTCACTCACTCTGGGCTCCCACACCAGGGCAGCAGTGTGAAGAGCACCAGTGGCATATGGGGAGGAACTGAAGTGTCTGGCATCAGGGCAAATGCCAAGGGATAGCTTCTTCCCGGACAAACACTAGAGGCCATGCAGTGGCCACTGTCCCTTTTCTGAGCCCTCCCCCACATGACCACAGAGTAGCGACACCGTATCTGAAACTCCATCAACCTAGTTCACACAGGATGCTCTGCCCTGGTGATTACCTAAGGCACAGGTGGCAAACACAAGGCTCATGGGCCAAATCTGGCCCTCTACCTTGTTTTATCTGGCCAGGCACCTTGTTTCTTCTGGGCAGCAGTGCTGATCTCCTTACCCCTAGTTAAGGAGTAGTTACATTTATACAATCCTAAAATTACATTCGGCCCATTGAAGACAACAGTGAGGCTGATGTGGCCCCTGGTGAAAATGAGTTTGACACCCCCGACCTAAGGCTCTGCCCCATCCAACTTACAGGTGCCCTTTTCTACATTAGGCCACACTACTAAGATGGAGTCAAAGCAGCTCTCTCTAATAATAGAAGCAAACACAGGGAGGCTGCCAAAATGAGGAGACAAAGAAACATGACCCAAATAAAAGAACAGAACAAAACTCCAGAAAAAAACTAAACAAAATGGAAATAAGCAAACTATCAAATGCAGAGTTCAAAATACTGGTTATTAGGATACTCAAGGAACTCATTGGGTACTTCAGCATAAAAATGATCCAATCAGAAAAGATGGTTACACTAAGTGAAATAAAAATTAATGGGGAACGACAGTTGAGTGGATGAAGGAGAGAATCAAACAATGATTTGTAACATAAGGAAGAAAAAAAAACATTCAGTCAGAACAGCAAGAAGACAAAAAAATACAAAAAAAAATGAGGATAGGGTAAGGAGCCTCTGGGACATCTTCAAACGTACCAACATTTGAACCATAGGGGTGTCAGAAGTAGAAGACAAAGAACAAGAAATTGAAAACTTACTTGAAAAAATAATGAAAGAAAAATGTCTTAATTTGGTCAAGGAGATAGACATACAAATCCAGGAAGCACAGAGAGTTCCAAATAAGTTTGACCAAAAGAGGACTACACTAAGACTTACCATAATTAAAATGCCAAAGGTTAGCCCTGGCTGGTGTGGCTCAGTGGATTGAGTCTCAGTCTGCAAACCAGAGGGTTCCCAGCTTGATTCCCAGTCAGGACACATGCCTGGGTTGTCAGCCTGTTCCCCAGTCATGGGTGTATGAGAGGCAACCATACATTGATGTTTCTCTCCCTCTCTTTCTCCCTCCCTTCCTCTCTCTAAACATAAATTTTTAAAAATTTTTTAAAAATTCCAAGGTTAAAAATAAAGAGATAATCTTAAAAGCAGCAAGAGAAAAGCAGATAGTTATCTACAAAGGAATTCCCCTAAGACTGTCAGCTGATTTCTCAAAAGAAACTTTGCGGACTAGAAGGGACTGGCAAGAAGTATTCAAAATAATGAAAAGCCAAGACCTACAACCTGGATTACTCTATCCAGCAAAGCCATCATTTATAATTGGATGAGATCAGGCGCATTCAGGGTGGTATGGCTGTAGACTACCATCATTTATAATCGAAGAACAGATAAAGTGCTTCCCAGGCAAGGTAAAGCTAAAGTTCATCATTTATTATATGAAATGTTAAAGAGACTTATTTAAGAAAAAGAAGATCAAAACTATGGATGTTAAAATGGCAATAAATTCACAACTATCAACCAATGAATCTACAAAACAAACTAAGCAGAACAGAATCATAATTATGGAGATCATGTGGCTGGTTATCAGTTGGGAAGGAGAAGAGGGAGTTTGGGGGAAAAGTCCAGGGATTAAGTACAAATAGGAACAGAATAGGCAGGGGGACATTAAGAACAGTATAGGAAATGGAGAAGTCAAAGAACTTTTATGCATGACCCATGGTCATGAACTAAGTGGGGGCTATTGCCGGAGGGAGTGGAAGGTGCTGGGTGGAGGGGGGCAAAATGGGAAAAATTGGGACAACTGTAATAACATAATCAATAAAATGTATTAAAAAATAAAATATTTTTAAAAGATTACCATTCACATGTCACCATAACAAATATAGTAATGAAAAAGTTTGAAATATTGCAAGAATTTTCAAAATATGACAAAGTGAGCAAATGCTATTGGGAAAATGGCACCAATAGAGTTGCTCACACAGGCTTGCCACAAACCTTCAAGTGAAAAAATTCAAATCTGCGAAGCACAATAAAATGAGGTATGCCTGTACAGTCGAGCAAAATCATCTTGCTGCCACTTCCCAGTGTCACAAAAGAGTGTCCTATCACATACTGCTAGCTCGGGAAATTTGAAGTGCCATTTCTACTGAAAGCATATCACTTTCATACCATTGTAAAGTCAGAAAATCATAAATTGAACTATTGTAAGTTGGGGACCATATGTAGTTTAGAACACATTTTTTTATGCTAGCACCAAACATTAATCCATTGCCTTATTTTTGGAGAGATTAGGAGGAACAGCATTGGGAAAATGTAGCTGCCATGAGCAGGATGGGGGTCATGTTGTGTTTTGTTCTGGGTCTTTTGAGTGAGCCAGATTGAGGAGCCTTAGCTGTACACTTGGGAGTGCTGGGGTGATGGCTTTCAAGTAGCATAGGTAATGTTCTTGATACCATTTAATGGAGTTGAAGTGTTTTCTCTCTTCTGCTTTTCTTAGATTTGGTTTGAAAATGACCTTGTAGGCAGGTTGTAAACTTGTCAAAGGCAGGATCTAAGTCTTTATTTACCTTTTCAGCCCACACAGCCTAGTGCATTGTCTTGAATAGTATTACTCTATACATATTTGAAAACTGAATTTAGTTAACAGGAGATTTTTTTTTTTGTACTAACAGTAGAACAAAACAAAGGTCAACATGCTTGTGCAACTTGTATTATAGGAGCTCTGGCCTAGACACTCCAATCAGACACATAAAGTTGAAATCATGGAACTTTAAACTTCTGAAAGCTGTTACAGAGATTATTGTGTTTATATAACTAAAGATCATATCAAGGAGTAATTTTCTTATATGCCAATCTTGGTCTCTTTCTTTCTCTTCTTGTCTTCCAGGTGTATCATACTTTGTTCTGGCCTCTTGAATGGACAGTAGCTGGCAGAGACAACAGTACTTGTTATGCAAAGATAATTTGCAATAAATTTGACAATGTATGTAATATGATTGGAAGCTGAAATGCTGTAATTTTAGAATGTAGCTTTTATTCTAGTATTTGGATTTTTATAATTTCTTTAAAGATAGTTTTCAGGGAAGGCATAAATCCTTCAAATTATTACCCAGTTAATATGTTTGCGGAGGTTGAACAAGTGATATGGATTGTAACTGAGGCTTACCAATACCTTTCAAAGTAATCATTGAAAGTTGTCACTTCCCAAACCTACCAAACTCAGCAGTTTAGAAGTAGATCACCTGTGAAAATTTTTATTCATCAACTATTAAAATGTAAGGTGTATGTTTATGTGCACTTTGTAAAGTGAATATGAAAAAGCCTTTACAAGGAGATGCTTACATAAAGTGAAAACTAGTTAATTAACTAATTCCTAATGAGTTAGGAATTAGTTCTTCTCTTCATTAAAGAAGAATCAGTGAGGTGGAGAACCCATTGTTGGAGGCCTCTGCCTTCCCTGTTGTTGAGGTGAGCATGAAACTGTTAACAGATACCCTGATTATCGGAGTTTAAAGCACTGTTTATTTAGGACTTATTTTATAAAGAACACGTAGGGTAGGAAGCAGTGTAAGCACTTAATTCCTCCTTTTTTTAAGAGTTTATAATTTATCTGGGGAGATAAAACATAAGATTAGATACATATGAACAGCAACATCTGACATTCATATAAAGTATATGGAGTAATCTGAGGTTCCTCTCAGGAAACTGTGGGTGCCTTCCCAAAGGGAGCAGGCAGAGACTATGCACTGAAGCCTCCAAAAGTGAGCGGGAGTGGGGTTTGATTGAGCTGCTGCTGAAACCAAGATTCTCAGTCTTCATATTATTTCTGACCTCTTGACAGAGTTGTTGACTGTGGCTGTCAGTCCTGAGGCAGAATTTTCATGTCTATTTACCTTCTTTTTGAACCCCATCTCTGTCCCTTGCCACTCCCTCTGCTCACACTCAGCTGCCTCCTCGATCCCTGTTTGTTTGCCTCTGCACAATCACTCACTGTCCTCAATAGAGCTTATTACTTTCTTTTACTCCTGTCCAAATTTCTGTTCCTAGAGGACCATCCTACTACTATGTATTTTACTGTAGGTATGTGGTAAAAATTGTGAATGAGGTTTACCCTCTCACAGAACCTGCCTTCATTTTCATTTTTAAATGGGGATTTTTATCCGATGTTTTTACTGTCTGGTCTGCCTGCCTTTCCCAGTTTGCTGTATGTATGATATGCCACCGTAGAGATTTCAATTCAGTCTACTTCTTTGGGGCCCTGGGAACTGCATTTCTCATCCAGAGACCTTGTGGCCTGTGACTACCCTTCAAGAAACACTACTTCCGGAGCTCTCCATTTTGAGCACTTGTGAGTAGATGTGTGTGAGCTGGCTGCTTTGAACCATTGTTCTTCCTCTAGAATGGGAGGAGGCAAAGCTTTCTGCCAGCCACAAGACCTCTGCTGCTCTTTCTCTCTATCTGTTGTATACATACTGTTGAAGATTGAAACAAAGACTAGAGTCTGATGGGGGGAAAAAAAAACACTGACAAAAGGACAACCTAAATGCACTGTACTTTGGAAATTTACCATGAGTCTCTCTCTCAGTCTCAGTGGTCTACTCATCACATGGGCCTTGCACCTCATCTTCTACTCCTTGATCTTCCCTTAGTTGTTAGGAGTCAGGCAACTTGCTTCCTGGGTTGGGAATCACTGCAATGCCAGTGAAAGTGAAACCTGCTACATTTGAGTTATTCCAGTGTTGGACTTTAATTCATATTTGTATGTTGTTATTTAGCACTATCTCAACAAAGCTCAGAAATTTCTACCATACATACTAATGAGCTCCTTTATGCAGTGGGTAAAATTTGCTTATTTCCAGTAAATTTAAGTGCATATTATTCTGGATGTGCATTTATTGACTCATTTAACAGATTCTTAACAGTGGCTTAGTTTCATGGTAATGTTCTCTGCTGAGTTTAACATTGGTTCTTTTTCTGTAGTAGATATTGTTAATTTGAATTGTGAACTTGCAATGAATAGATTCCTATCCAGACCATTAACCTACTGGGCTTCCCTTTGTTTTGATTTTCTATTAAAGAATCGGGTGATAGGATTTCATCTTCTTGGACCAAATGCTGGTGAAGTTACCCAAGGATTTGCAGCTGCAATGAAATGTGGGCTCACAAAGCAGCTACTTGATGACACTATTGGAATTCACCCCACGTGTGGTGAGGTACATACAGAAATGAGAGGTTTTTTTAGGTTGACTTCAATTGGTGTAGTTTGAAAAACTATTATGAAGCACATTGTCAAAAAGTTTTTGTATTGGTAATTACTTTGCATGTTTTAAAAGAGAACAGATATAATATTCAGAAAGTGTTTTCTTAAAGCAATACTGAAATAATTGTTGCCAAAACACAAATTTGTTTTCTTCCTTTCTTGCAGGTATTTACCACTTTGGAAATCACGAAGTCATCAGGACTAGACATCTCCCAGAAAGGCTGCTGAGGCTAGACCTGCTGCTATCTAGTCTCCCTTGTCAATTCACATTTCTTCACATGAGTCTGTGATCAGGGCACCTGCTCTCATGCACAGGGCCCACTGCAGGGCTTTCATCACAGTGCACAGATGAGAATGTAGACAAGGAGGCAGGCAGCAGTGCATATGTACTCAACGGTCTCAGCTGACCTGGGAGAGGCAGTTACACTGCTTCCTTGACGTCTTACTCAGAACCCCTTATGAAGTGAGCTAAGACCAATGCTCTTCCAAGTCAGAACTGAGCTTTCCTCTGAAAGACCTTTTAATCGCATAACTAATCTAAGTTAATTTTTCTGTTTTCCTAGGGTTTTTAATCCCCTTGCTTTGTTCCTATGAAAATATTTTCTATTATAAAACTATAAAATAGCGATCTTCCAATGTGTGAGTGTGGAAGGCACACATGGTCTCTGGTGAGTAGTGTCTGTGGAAATGCCCTGAAGTAGCTGGCTGCAGAGGACTGGGGTACATTAGTAGAAACTTTCACATACTAAATATAGTTTCATTAGTTAGCTGTTTTCTCCTTTGGTTATATTTTTACCCACTGTCTCATGCTTCACCCTCTCCTGGTTTCCTGGTGGTAACTATCTTGGAGTCAGTCATTCTTCTCTTAGTGTCTGTAGACTGAACAGAGTATCTTATGTCAGAGAGAAATGCTTGTATTTTTTTTCATGTTGATCTTAAGATAATATAAAAGGTTTTCAATACTTTATTATTTGAGCTGTATTTAAAACTCTAAAATGATTCAGTCTACAATCTAATTATAGCCAAGTTCAGTACATGAACAGGTGATATTAAGATATTCTATTTGAATTTATATACCTGTCAGCATCTAAAAGGCCCTTGCAATGGGAGGCCTATCTAAGAACACCCAAAGAATTTGTAACCACTCTGCAAGTCATAGACCATTGGAAAGGGTACTTATCTTTCCTTAGCAAGGGGAGAAAAGGCTTGGATATAAATCTGTCTGTAACTGGCTCCCTCATACCCTTCTCCCCTATTCCCTGCACCCCTGCCCCAACTTTATCTTTTTCTCCACTTTTCTTTTTTCTCCTCTTCTGGAGTAAAGGTGGGCTTTATATAATGTTGAGAATTTGTTTTATCTGGAAGATAAACTTTATATGCATCTAATAACATAACAGATGCATACAGATCAGTAGGGAAATATTAACATCCTACATTATAGTAGAAATTTTAATATACCTCACCAATGTATTAGATAAAAGAAAAAATATCAGTAAAGGTACAGATTTGGATAGCACAATTAACAAGCTCAGTTTAATGAACTTAATGAATAAGACTTTAACATAAATACTCATTTCAAGCACACATCGAATATTTATGAAGTTTGCCATGTGCTAGCTCAACAAATTTCAAAAGACTGGTATCATAGAGATGAGACAAAAGGATTTTAGCTGTGAAACTAACACTAAGAACCCACAGGTCTTAAAATCCATGCAGTATGGTGGAAAGTAGAGTATGGAGGTATTGTGAGGTGAGTGAGGGGTTAATGTGAGATCAAGCTAAAAGAACTGGGTTAGAGTCAGGGATCATTCACAAGAAGAAGGGAATTGTGGAAAGATTCTAGACCTTGAAGAATAATAAACTTGTGAATGCCTGGTCCCATTATTTACTAAATATATTAAAAAATTCATTGTTTAACTTTTCTAATTCTTCATTTATGCTGACAGTATTGCCCATTTCACAGATTTACAACAATTGAATACATTTATTAAGTTTCCAGTGTATAGCATATCAGCATAGAGTATCCTGGCATCCATGATGATGAGTAGGGACCCTACTTAAAGAAAGCTTTTGTAGACACAGAAGTATAGCCAATAGAAGACAGGAGACCTATTGACAAATCAGTGCTTTGGCAGCCCTGATTGGGTTGCTCAGTTCGTTGGAGCACCGTCCCATTCAGTTGCAGGTTTGATCCCTGATCAGGGTATATACCCAGGTTGCTAGTTCGATCTCCAGTCAGGTCACATATGGGAAGCAACCAATCAGTGTTTCTGTTTCATACTGATGTCTGTCTGTCTGTCTCTCTCTAAATCAATAAACATATTCTCGGGTGAGGACTTTTTTAAAAAACTGATGCTTTGGCAGACTTCACTATAATAGGCAACCTCTTAGTTGGGCCTCAAGTTGGATTCTCCAGCCATGGGTAGTCACATCATCATGTAGTCCCCTCTTATAATGTACCAAGGTTGGTCTGTATGACCAGTAAAATATGGCAGCAGTGATGGTTTGTCACTTCTAAAATTAGGTCATAAAAGGGCTGCAGCTTAAGTTTTGGTCACTCTCATGTACTCTCTTGGACCACTTGCTCTGTGAGAAGGCAGCTGCCATATCATGAATACTCTCAGGAAACCCATGAAGAGGCCCAGATGGTGAGGAGCTGAAGTCTGTAGCCAACACCAAGAAACAGGTCTGTCAGCATCCATGTGAATGAGCTCAGAAGTGATATTTCCCCAGGCAAGCCTTCCCCTAGCCAGCAGCTTGCCTGCAATCTCTTGAGAGATTGGGCCAGAACTACTCAGACCACTCTCAGATTTCTGATCATCAGGACCTGAGAAAATAAATACTTATTTTTTAAGCTACATTTTGGAATAATTTGTTAGTTACACAATAATAGATAATATATTCATGGAAAATTAAAATTAGTACAAATTTCATCATATAACTTAAAATGTCTTAGACTTTTTTTCCTAGGGCAGATAAAAAAAGCCATTTGCAGATTTTGGATTTCAACAAAAAGGGATTGGAGTTCAGATTAAACACTGAACTTCCCCTCAATTGCAGACAAGGAAACCCTAAGCAGGGAAGCTTAAGGGTCCTTAGTGGAAAACCTTCTGTGTCTGTGGTCTTGGACTTTGGCTGTGGTGGGTCCCTGCTGAGCTTTCTTGGGGCATCTATGATTGTTAATGCTCATGAAAGATTGCTTAGGAAACTATTTAACTTAGCAAGGGAGAACAATACCTTGACCGTCTCTTCTCAGATAGGAATTAGATAAGTGTCCTTAGAGTATTGAGGGTGGGGCTAGGGTTAGTCAAGGGGTGGCTATATGGCAGAGGAAGGTAAGTGGCTCTAGGCAGAAATTGGTCAGACTTTATAAACTAGTTGTTGGAATGGTGTCAGTGGTCTTTAGAATTTGGGATATGAGAGACCATCTTGAGTTCCTGTTACGGTAGTCTTCTCTTGGAACATACAAGTCTGAATGTGTTTGTGTTAAAACAGCTCAAGTTTTGGTAATTTGTTGTGTAATATGCTTTAGTACACTTTAAAGGTTTTTGAGTAATAGTGCAATTTTTCAAATTGTGGTTTTATTTCCCAATATAGAACCATCCCATGTGTCTAGGACGGGAGTGACAAAGAGACCTAGTGGGAATTTATTGTAAGACATCATCAAATATTTATTGAGACTTATGCTTCCACCCATGCTGGAATAACATGTACTAGACTTAACATTTCTCTATAACCTGGAGGAAATGTGGAACTGTGTTCAGGCATGGAAAAATGGACAGTGCAGAATTGTAATTTCTGAAAGAAGGAAAACAAGTTAAGTGATTCCCTACAATTTCCCCCAACTTTCTGCATGGGAGTAATTTTCAGTATACAAACACGAGGGAAGATCCAAACAGAGCTTGGATAAAGCTCTTGCTAAATCGGGGTAGAAATTGGAATTCATTGTGGCGGAGAGACATGTGGGAGCTGTGCAGAGAAGAGGTCCAGAAATCTAAGCAAGATCTCCTGAGTCTGTTGAATTCTAAGCCTTACATCCTCAGAGTAAAAGTCTAGAAGGTCAGGGAAGAAATGGAGTAAAAACTGAACAATTGCCACACATCTTAGAAAGTGAGGAAAAATTCTAACTAACCAGAGGAGTGTCCTCAATAATCCCCTTGAAATATTAAGTAGAGACCCCAGAAGGAGCCATACTTTAGCAGTGGAGTTGAACTATCCCAGGAGGCAAGTCTACTATAGACTCACCCTAACAAAGTTTAAAAACAGGATTTAATGGTACTAAGATAATCCAGAAGTCACTGCCTACAAAAGTAAGCACAATACCCATTAAAAGAAGACAACAAAAACACTTGAAAGTGTAAAGACCTTAATGTCTAATACCCAATCAAAAATTACTAGGCATGCTAAAAAGCAGGAAAGTGAGGTCCCTAAGAAAAACCAGTGAATAAGAAATAGGCCCAGAATGACTATGTGATTGAAATAACATAAGGTTATTACAGGGAAACATGAATATAATGAATAAAATGGAAAATACTTAAAAGAACCAAAAATAATTTGTAGAGGTGAAAAATACAGTCCTTGTAGAAGTGGTTCAGTTGGTTGTAGCATCATTCTGTAGACCAAAGGGTCCCAGTTTAATTCCAGGTCAGGTCACATATCCAGATTGTGGGTTCAATCCCTAGTTGGGGTGTGAGAAGGTAGGTAATAGATTCTCACTCTCATTCTCTTGCTTTCACTCCCCCTTTCCTTAAGAGCAATGAAAAAATTGTTCTAGGTTAAGGATTTTTTTTTTTAATAAAAGTACAGTACCCATTACAGGAAGTACCATGATCATTAGCTAGTTTGGTGACTTGCTGGAAGGACTCACATGACTCAAAGTCATACTCATGCCCAAGTTTTATTACAATAAAGGGTAAAGTGCAAGGACAGGGAAAAAAGCATAAGCAAATGTTAGGTCATGTGCAGTTTTCCAAGTCATATCTCTATAAGAGTCATACAGATGTACTTTCAACTGTGAACTGCAAAGACACATGTCTACACCCAGGAAAGTTCACACATGTCTTGGAGTTCTGAGTTCTTGAAAGGGACTAGTCACATAGCTGTGCTGGGGACCAGAAATCAGATACCAGTTGTATATTATAAATGTTCATGTTTAAACACATATCCTGGTGAATCTTGACCTACTACTTTAGGCATAAATGTAATAATAAATAACCTGTAACTGGAGTATTTCATCAATTCTTATGGATTAGCCAGGGATCACTGCCCAGGCTACAGAGATACATAAAAGTGAGCAAAATAGACCTACTTCATCAATTGATCCTTCACTGTATTAAAAAAAAATATATTTCATTGGATATGATCAGTAGCAGATTAGACACTATAGAAGAAAAAAGTAATGAATTAAAGACATGGTAGAAACTATAAAGTAAGGACAGAAAAGAGATTGAAAAATAATAAAAGAATTTAGGTTACATGAATTCTGTAACATTGTCAAATAGTTTACATTTGTAATTAAAGTCCCAGAAAGGGAAAGGAGGCAAGGAGCAGAACAATATTTACAGAGAATTTTATAAATTTGATGAAAACTATAAGCTCACATATCAAAATCTTACCCAAGTACATCATGCCTTGTTTCCAATAGAAAAAATATAAAGCATATTAAAAGACGACAAAGTTTAAGAGACAGCAAGCATCAGAATCAGATTCATATGGGAGAGATTGAAATTACTGCACCAGGAATTTAAACTATGATTAATATGCTAAGGGCTGTAATGGAAAATGTGGGCAACATGCAAGAAAAGATGGGTACAATAAGAGAGATGAAAACTTTAAGAAACAGAAGGAAATGTTAGAAATAACTGGAATAAGGGCCCTGGCTGGTATGGCTCAGGGGATTGAATGCCAGCCTGTGAACCAAAAGGTCACCAGGTTGATTCCCTGTCTATGGCACATGCCTGGGTTGCCATCCAGGTCCCCAGTAGAATGTGTGTGAGTCAGGCACACAATGTTTCCCCTTCTCCCCTCCCCTCTCTAAAAGTAAGTAAGTAAAACCACTAAAAAAAAAAAGAAGAATAAGGAATACCTTCAATGGAGTCATCAGTATAGTGCACATGGCCAAGGAGAGAATCAGTGAGACTGAGGATGGGTTGATAGAAATGTCCCAAACTGAAATAAAAAGAGAACAAAAAGGAATTTTTTAAAAACCCATCCTAGGATTGTGAGACAATTTCAAAATCTATACCATATACATGTTAATACCAAAAAGAAAAGAGAATTAAGCAGAAGAAACATTCCAAGTAATGTCTAAACTTTCCAAAATTACACCACACCAAACTCAGAGAACAGCAAGGAGGGTAAGTACCTCCCAAAACTATACCTAGGCAAACTGTAGGAAAGAAACCAGAGGGGAGGGAAAACTTACCTGTAGAGGAACAAGGGTAAGAACTGTAACTGTCTTTTTATCAGAAACCATAAAAGCAAGAAGAGTGAAATATTTTAAGAAAAACCTACAAACCTAAAATTTCATATCAAAATTGTCTTTCTAATATGGAGAAATAAAGATTTCTAAAAAAGAAAATGTGAATCGATATAGTGTTATTTGAAAGTTAAAAATCTATATTGGAAAGTCTAGGGCAATCATTCCATTTCAAAAAGAAGTATAATATGTGAAAAGAGCTACAATGGAATCAGAATGTCAAAACCAGGGGGGAAAAAACAGAAAATGGGGGCAAAACAAACATAATAAATGCAAAAAAAAAAGTTCCAAACATGATATTAATCCAACTATATCAATAATCACTAAAAATGTGAAGGGTCTAAATACACTAATTGTAATGAAATGACTTCATTTTTCTGTTTGCTGTTGGCTTCTAAGCCTCACCAACTTTTGTCTTTGCCTTTTGTCCCCAACTGGA